GGAATCTATACTCCAATAATATCTGGAGAACAACAGATTTTCTATTTCTGATTAAATATCTTTAGAATGAAGTGGGAAACATCTTTACTTTTTTAACTTATTTGTTTTTGTTAATTCTGTATCTAAGCAAAATTAAAGTGTCTGTCTATTGATCAAATGGCATCGGCGGGTACAATATAATTCTGTCCCCTGTATCTGTATCATTTGCTCCTGAACTATCAGCTCCAGTGAAGATCTTGAGCTACATACTGGTAGGAAAAAGAAAGAAAGAAAACTCATGTGATATGGCATTTAATCCATTTTTTACTATTTCACTGTATTTCTGAGTGATTACATTTAAACTACAATTGCACAATTAACTCATTCACAATTAACTTAGTATCATTGTACTAAATCAATTCAATTGTTGTATCAATCCAATATTGTTATTCTCCAAGATCTGACCATTATGCTCTAATAGCCCCAATTACAATTCCAAACCATCAGTTTACAGGTAATGAGAAAGCCACTAACAGAGTCTTTAGAGACTTCTATCCTGTCAGTGGGCTGAAAATAATCTGCTCTAAAAAGAGCACCTTCCCACATTTCCTTTCTGCACCTGGACTGCACCAGTGCCTACCAGCATAGAAACACGGCAAACGAACACATCTTTTAAAAAGGAGAACAAGGAACCAAATCGTACCCTGATATGAAAATTACATCTGCAAAGATTTCATTAGACAAGTTAGGCAAGGATTCAGTTTCATATGGTAGAACAGTCGTCATGGCATCTTTTACATGGCCACTGTATGCATTTCAACGAGAAAGCTTTAAATATTGAAATCTTAATTATCAACCTCCTGATCAGGGTGGCCTAGTATTCACTCAAAGGCTAAATCTCAGGAGAGCAAAAAGATACACCCAACGCTTATCACCGAACCCAGAAAACCAGGCAGAAGAAGCAGATTTTTCTCTCCAACCTTAGATTCAGTTTTCCTTTCTCTCCTACGGAAATCTCTTGTCCCCACCTCCAAAAATCTCCCTTTCTTTTCCTCCGATCCCCGACCGACTTTTCAAATTAGCTATAGGCTTCTCCGCTCTGCCCCCTTTTACCTTCCTTTTACCTTTACCTGTCCTCGGAATCCCCACTTCTTTCAGCGGCTCTCCAGCATTCATTGCATCAGCTGCTAGAGCACAGCTCGTGCGACGCTGATCGTCTTCCGATCAGGAAAAGGCGTTCCTAAGCCCGGAACTGAGGACAACGAGGAGGAGAGAAACCGCGACAGACGAGCGCGCTGCGGGAAGATCCGTCAGAGAGGCCAAACTCTCGTTAAAAAAAATCCATAAAAATAAAATAATGAGCGCACAAACCAGGAAGAAAGGCGGATGACGCTCATGAGAGTAAAACAGGAACCTTTGAGAGCAAGACGAGTTTCCTAGGGGAGGCTTTCTCGAGGAAAGGATGTGGCCGCGCTGCAAGGCGATCTAAATCTGATGTCAGAGGAGGCTGCTCTTCAGGTAGTGTTGCTGTAAAGTGGATCCCCCTTTAGGTCAATGGGTTGAGTGACTAGGTTTCCCCCCCTCCTTCTTCCTTATTCGCTAGTTCCTGGCCCATGCAGGATCTGTTTCAATGGCATCGGTTGCAGTTGGTACCAATCAAGCTCCAGAGCGGTCTTTGCTTGTCCTAAGAGGGGAAATAAATGTATCGAAGCACGTTTTGTAAAAGCCTCTATTTCCTAAACAGGCTGGTAGGATACAAAGAGGACAGACTGATGAGCAGTGGTTTGATTCTGTGTCCTTCCACCTGCTAAATTCCCTAGTGTGAAAAGATGCAGGACCTGGCTTCTTGCCTTCCCCGGCTTCTACTTTCAGCCATGCCAAGTATAGTTGCTTTATCTAGTGCATCATCTTTTATGAAACGTCCTAAGTAGTTCTTGCTTGCTGTTGGTAATCTTTATTTATCTAGCACATTCATCTATAACAGAATAACAGAATTGGAAGGGACCTTGGAGGTCTTATAGTCTAACCCTCTGCTTAGGCAAAAAAACCTATACCATTTCAGACAATGGTTGCCAATCTCTTATTAAAAACTTCCAACTTCTGGAGGCAGGTCATTCTACTGATTAATTGTTCTGTCAGGAAATTTCATCTTAGTTTTAAGTCCTCTCCTTGATTAATTTCCATCCATTGCTTCTTATCCTGCCTTCAGGTGCTTTGGAAAGTAGATTGACCCCCCCTCTTTTTGTGGCAGCCCGTTAGATATTGGAACACTGCTATCATGTTACCCCTTTTCATTAAACTAACATAAGAAATTCCTGCAATCATTGTTTGTGTATTTTAGCCCTCAGCCCCCTAATCATCTTTGTTGCTCTTCTCTGCACCCTTTGTAATGCTTAATCCATCTCTGAGCTCAAGAAAACAAAAAGTATTGCTTTTGCTGTCACCTGTGAGTTCAGCTAAGCATGCTAGTTAACATGACTGTCTTTTTAATATTTAACAGTCCAGATTTTTCATTTTCTATGCTTACTTTCATTGTGAGCACTTCTAAATCCAAGCCCTTTTAGGGGTACAAGTAATATTGTCTCATATATCAAATTGTTAATGTTTCAGTATTCTATTAGGCTAATTGGCTAGCCTTAAATGTATGCTTATATACACTGTTAGACACACTGAATTCACACTGCTATATCTATTGATGCATGATCATTTAACTGAACATGGCCCTCTACTTGCTTTTTATAAAATCATAAGTCCTGGCTCCATGACAGTTTTTTTTAAATCAGCAAATGAGTAAAATTATTTCAGTTGGGAAAAGGCAATATGTTAGCCAAATTAGCATTTATTGATTATGTAGTAATTCCAAGAGCTTTTTCTTGAGCTAGAATTAACCAGGGAGGGAAAGGCTTTGGATTCTCCTGCATTTTTGCAAAGTCAGCTGCTGAAATGAAAAAGAGGTGCTGCTTTATACTAGCACTAACTTTGTAGAGCAGTCTTTCTCTAGAATGTTAGATTGCATTGTATGGTACAGGCTTTCTGGAGACCTTTGAAGACAGAATTACTCTAGATTATTCTTTTTTGATTGATATTAATTCTCAGTGGAGATATGTGCATTTTTCATAGGAATTTTTGGTCAGTTATTTTTGAATCATCAGGTGCTTTTATCTTATGGATATTTTAATATTTAATAACATGTGTTATAGGTATTATAACAGCTATTTTAATGATTACTGTGGATATTAATGCCTAAATGCATTGCAGATGCTTATACGTGTTGCTACTGTTGATATTTATATTTGATTTTGACTGTAAGCTGAGTCCATGTAGATTGGACAGCATATAACGTGAATAATTAAATTATTATTTATTTAAATTTATTTTATTTCAAATAAATTAAAATGCACTAATTAAGGAATTAAACGTACAAGTATTGTTAAATTCTGGAAATAAATTATGACTTTTGTAAGTAAGAAAGATATGAAACAGAATTATTTAAAATGACTACTTGTATTTGTTCTTTCATTACAGAAACTATTCATTGTTGATTAGAATCCAAAAACGTACGTTTCAGGGGTTTCCCCCACATAGTTCACATAATGAGTTTTTCCCTTGTTGCTTATGATGATTCGGACTCTGAAGCAGAGACTGGGAGATCCGGAGATGTTATTAGCAGTGAAATCGATCTAACAGATTCTGCTGTGGATGTTATCCAGTCCAGTGATGACTTAAATATTATTTCTGAGAAAAAAGTCAAATCTCTGGAATACACGGGCAGCTCCAAAAAGAACATATCTCATGAGGATACCTTTCAACTGCATCTACAACCTAATGAAAAGACTATGATAACAGCAGTACAACAGCAGTACAACAGAAATTGTACTTCGACAAAAACAAGGACTAAGTATACCCAGCCAGTAAATCCTTTATTGGAAGCTAAAATACCTTCTGGAAATGCATATGCTCAGAAGAGGATGCGTAATGATGGAGATGTAACTATTCAAAAACTGAGACCATATGTTTCAAAAAAACTGCAACAGGAAAAAAAGGAATACCAAAAAGAGAGTATATCTTCTCCAGTTAAATATAGTACAGCTGAAGATAAAATGTCAGTTAAAATTTCCCAATATATTATGCCATACATAGGATCAAAATACGCAGTTACTGAAATTCCAAAGAACTTGGTATTTCACATGGCTGAACATAGTGGACCAGTTAATGCCATTCGCTGGTGTCCTCTGCAGAGGTGGAGCCATATGTTGCTTTCTGCCTCTATGGATAAAACTATCAAGGTAATGTGTTGCAATATCAATGTCTTTAATTAATTATTACTTATATAATGAGTGAAGATCCCTCCAAACCTTTTTCTAAGCTATATTAAACAAAACATAAGCTGTACCTTGTCCATAACAGTCTGAATTAAGATTAAGTTGTCTATTGATGAATATTAGCTGTACATGTTGTGGATGTTAAAAATACTGAACAGTGCAACCAATTTCATCAAATTCTTGCTTGAATGGGAGAAACAAAATATCCATAGCAATTGCAGGAGAGAAGGACCATCAGATATAGTGAACAGTGGACAGTATCTCTCTTGCTTCCAAAGCTTCGTTTGGGTTTTTAAGATACTGGTGGATATAGTCATGAAACAAGTGCATATTTTTAATCCCTCTTATACAGGAAAAACATTTATTTATTTATTTATTTGATTTGTCAATTGCTTACAAGATAATAGGTATAAGTATAAATATGAATAAGAATACAGGAAATAGGGACAAATAAATAAGGACAATAGGACAGGGATGGTAGGCACGATTGTGCACTTATGCACGCCCCTTACAGACCTCTTAGGAATGGGGTGGGGTCAATAGTGGATAGGATCAAAATACAGGAAAAACATTTGAAACATCAACCTACATCAGGGGTGTCAAATTGGTGGCTCGTGGGCTGGATGTGTCGCGCCCAGGCCACGCCCACCCTAGCTCCGTGAAGGAGAAAAACATCAAGAAACTTCAGGTGACAGTAACGTGATGCGGCAAGTTCGACACCCATGGCCTACTCCCTTGTTCTGCAGTCAGTGTCATAGCTGTTTTGTTAACAGTCAGGATATCATGTCTAGCTTAGTCCTTGAAGTTTTATGCATTTTTACACAAGAGAAATCCCACAGTTTCAAAACATTCATTTGTGTGGATAAGATAGCACTTATCCAGCTGAATCAATTCAGAAACAAGAGTATTCAGAAATAGACTTCAGTGAAGATTGTGAGACTTATTAAGAAATTAATAGTTTGGACTAATCTTCAGGCTCACAGTGTATTCATTTGTAATCTTCTTCTTGACCTTGATGTCAGCTTCAAGGATGCTCAGGTATTTATAATGATCATCTTCATCTAGACTTTTAATTTTATTTCCATAGGCTATCTTGATTCCCTTAGCTTTCACTATTTCCCTCCATTGATAATAAAAGTGGCACATTTGTCCAATTCAAACTCCATTGGCTGTATATATGGACAGTGTTGAGCTGTGATTTATTTGAATAGTATTGAGATTTATTATTATGGTTGGTTGCATGGTCATCCAGGTGTTTAGACTAGATTTGGCATTTTTATACATCTTTTAGTTGATTATTTCAGTAATCAATCCACTTCTTCCTTCCTACTTTGTGGTCTAACTTAATTGACAAGAAGACTCTAATTTCTAAATAAAAAAATAAGTTTGTTTCCTAATTTAAATGTGAGAGGCATATATTGCAATAAGTACATGAGAGATATGCTAAAATGGTCTCTTGAATTCCTTTTCAAGAACGCAGATTTGCCACTGATACATTTAAACAATCAGGATTTAAAATTAGAAGGCCAATTTTCTTGCCAAAAAGTCAAGGACTGAGAATTATTGGATAATACAAAACCACACACATAATGCATATAGTCATATGAATGGTAAAAAACCTCTGGATACTGGAACTTGAGTAATTCCTGTTTCATTGTTTGTGGAATAACTAGAGGTTTGTTTATTTTTAAAAAAGTGATTAATACTGTTACTTTTGTTCTTACTGTTGTCCTGTAACTTTAAAGCCAGTAGAGGGCACAGTTAGATTAAATATAAATGTTGCAAGACTAGAATCCTAACTGAAATTTGCTTCTCAGTTTGGTGTGTCATTGCAAAAAGGCTACTATGTAATAGACGGCAGCATACTGTTTAAGATCATCATTGCATTTAATCTGGGAAGGGATTTTAGTTACTTTAAAGCAATTGCAAGGATCAAAAATATATTTATTTTTCTGTCTCATTTTCTAAATGTAGTTTTTCCTAAGTTCATTCGTACTAATGAAATTTAGTACAGGTAGCCCTCGAGCTACAACCACAATTGAGCCCAAAATTTATGTTGCTAAATGAAACATTTGTTAAGTGAGCTTGTCCCATTTTACGATTTTTCTTGCCACCGTTGTTAAGTGAATCATTGCATTTGTTAAGTTAGTAACGGTTGTTAAGTGCATTTGGATTCTCCATTGACTTTGCCTGTCAGAAGGTCGCAAAACTGATCATATGATCCCAGGACATGCCAACCGTGATAAAGATGAACCATTTGCCAAGCATCTGAGTTTTGATCATGTGACCATGGGGATACTGCAATGGCTGTAAGTGTGAAAAATGGTCTTAAGCCACTTTTTCCAGTGCCATTGTAACTTTGATCGGTCACTAAATGAACTGTTGTAAGTTGAGGACTACCTGTAGTTTCAAACCCTATGTTTTGAGCTATACTTGAGAGAAAGAGTAAAAAGTTTGTGACCTCAACACAGCACTCTGCTTCTTCATCGAGGGCTAGGCAATCTTAACTAATCTTGTGAATATGGATGAAAAATGGTACTGATAATTGTTATAAAGAATTGTTTGGTACGGTGTCCAAACTGGACCTTTGTCAATCTACTATTCCAATGTGTTTTCAGATAAATATCTAATCCTGAAATCTGGCTGGAGAATTCCGGGAGTTGAAGTCCAAACATCTTAATATTGTCAAGGTTAAAAAATGACTGAAATCTATACATTTTAAACAAGGCATATTTTATCTGTCTTCAGTAGATATGGTTCAGGGTGATTCACAGAATATAACAGCATTTAAAAAAAACCTCAAAATAGTATTAAACATATTCATTTATTACATTTATTGCCACACATCTGCATGTCTGGGTAATATCAACAGCAAGTAACAATCAACAGCAAAAGTAAACTATTATTATAATGTATACAACAAATAAATTCCATAGTCAATGAGCAACATTTACAAATAGCAGCAAAAGTGCTAAATAGATTGTTTGATAATCAGAATCTTTTTTTTCCTAGTTAGCACCAGCAAAAGGCTCTTTATAATTTCAGTTATCAAACATGCTTAGGCAGTCGTTTGGGCATCTTGGTTGGTTTAAATTAAGATAAAATCTAAAATTTGCCTTCATTCGTGATAAAATCTATCTCCTCTAATTCCTTTCCTTTCTCTGCCCTTATGCTATAGCCAAAGTTCTTCTTTTCTTACCTTTTCCCTTGTTTTTCTACTCCAGTTTTTATCCCTACATCTATTATAGACCTTATTATATTTAATAATATAATATTATTACATATTATATGGCACAGTGGTTAGAATGCAATACTGCAAGCTAACCTACTACTTACTCAAGGAGTTTGATTCTGAGTGGCTCAAGGTTGACCCATCCTTCCATCCTTCTGAGGTTGGTAAAATGAGGACCCAGATTGTTGGGGCAATATGGTAACATTGTAAACTGTTTAGAGAGGGCTGTAAAGCAATATGAAGCAGTACATAAGTCTTAAGTGCTATTGCTATTATTTATTATTGTTTCATGTATTTATTTCATTTATATACTCCTTATCCAGGAGTTATGAATGTTTAGCTACTATGTATTGCTATACAGTAATTTTTATATCTTCTGATTCTACCGTGTTTCTCCAACAATATGGCCTCCCCCAATAGGAAGTCCCAGCATGTTTTATAGGCATAAAATAAAATTAAGCCCCTCCCCCCAAATTAAGGCCTATATTAAAACATGCGAAAAGGGGGGGAATGGCGGGGGGCTTGCCGTTAGGAAGTACTTTTGTTGCACACCTGGATATGGTGCTGCCTGCATTGACCTCGGCATTGGTGGGGCACTTCATATCGGGACACCTTCCGCCACCGTTGCTTTCCCTTCTCCCTGTGCTGCCACAGTGTTTGGAGCAACGCCATGGTGTTTGGCGCAGCCATGCGGCATTTGGCGCAGCCACATGTGGCCAGCCAGGGCTCCTCCCTGCAACCGGAGCCCGGTGGAGACACTCGGCTTCAGGTGCTCCTGTCGCTGCCTTCCCGGGCATCATTCAAAGGCAAAGCCCATTCTTTCAAAAACGATGCCCTACTACCGGTACGACAAAGCCTCCCCTGCCCGAGAGGGCAGCCCAACCCCACGTGGGGAGGCGAATCTCCAGGGCCACAACGCAGGATCAGCCCACCCCAGGAGAAGCGCCCAGCTGACATCCCTGCCTTCCACCGGGCAGAGCGCGAAGAGCTTCACCTGGGGTGCCCAGCACAGCTGACAGGCAGGCCTTCCTGCCCGGCAGTGGATCTCTGGCCAAGGCAGCGAGCGCCTGCCCGCTGGGCCCTCCGCTCATCCTGCCAGGGCCTTGCCGGAGCCGGGTGGGCTGGGCAGAGCCGGGAAAGCGAGCCATGGGTGCGCGCCCGCCTGCCAGGCGAAAGAGCCGGGCTGACCCGAGCTTGGCTTCCCAAGTCCCTCCAGCCCAACCCCGAAGGGGCCACCGGGAGAGGCTGCCCGAGGCAGTGATAGCGCCCACCCGTCTGCGGACAGGGAGGTGAGGTGACAGCAGCGCTGCTTCCCTGGCTGGCGGGTCTGGCAGAGAGAGCCCGAAGCCACCCATCCTTTCCACCCCTCGCCCAGCCCATCCATGTCCCCACGCATCTCCAAATGCACCAGCAGCTCCAAACGCTGCAGCGGCAGAGGCATCGGGCAGAGGCACTCACTTGGTGGGGCTCAGCTTGGAGGAGGTGCGGACTGTCGCCTTGCCTCCCTGTCCATGGATGGGTGGGTGCTATCACTGCCTCGGGCAGCCTCTCCCGGTGGCCCCTTCGGGGTCAGGCTGGAGGGACTTGGGAAGCCAAGCTCAGGTCAGCCCGGCTCTTTCGCTTTGCAGGCGGGCACGCACCCACGGCTCACTTTCCCGGCTCTGTCCAGCTCGCCCGGCTCCGGCGCAGCCCTGGCGGGATGAGCAGAGGGCCCGGCAGGGAGGCGCTCGCT